TCTTGACGCAGTGCCCTGACGGGGGTCACAGAGTGGTTCGTAGAGGTGATCGTCTGAAATGGTCTCAGTGGCACCCGACCTTGGGTCGACTTGGCGAGCTTGGTATGGACGAGCTCAAGAGGCTCGACGCTGACGCGGCGCGGCTTGCGCGTCGTAGCCAGCAAAGAGCGGTGCAGAGGTCGATGCAGGAGTTTCGAGAGTGGGCCGAGACAGCACCTGCAGCCGGAGCTCTCCACAAGTCCATCCGCGATCAGAAGCTCCCTGACGACACTCTTGAGATCGGCCCTAAGACGTTGATCCATCCTAAGGACATCAGGGATGCCAAGACTCAGCACTGGGAACGGTTGTGGAGCCCGAAGGCAGTTGATGAGTTTCAGCAGATTTCTGAGATGTTTGTCGACATACGGCAGCGGATCCAGGGTCAGTCGCTCATGCCACTAGGATTTCGGAGCTTCGAAAGGCGCTCGAGAGCACGAAGCCCAACGCCGCCATGGGCGTCGATCGAGTTGGAAGCCATGATTTTGATCGGTTACCTGATGCTGCGATCGCTGAGCTTGGCGAGATCCTCGCGCTTTGTGAGCTGCACCAGGTGTGGCCACATCAGGTCCTCCTCACCTTGGGCACCCTCTTGCCCAAGAAGCTGTCGGGTGACCGAGTGATCGGCTTGCTCTCGCACCTTGGCCGCACGTGGTCACGAGCAAGAGAGGTGCACGTCCGTACTTGGACCGACCAGTGCAAGGCGCACTGGGATGCCGCTGTACGCGGCAACGCTGCGCTTCGTGAAGTTTTTCTTCGGGCAGTGGACGAAGAACTCGCAGTCAAGCTTGGGGCCTCCGCGGGCCACGGCATGATCGACGTGGCGAGCTTTTATGATACAGTAGGCTGGTTTAGAATGGGCAAAGCCGCGCTTCGTCTTTCGTTTCCACCTGAGGTATTAGGCCTCGAACTTCAACAATGTATGGCTGCACGTTGTGTTCGACAGTCAGGAGCATATGGAGCTCCCTTTGTGCCGACACGCCCCATCGTGCAGGGGCTTCGAGGTGGTGCGCGATTCGGGAAGTGCTCCACATATTACGTGCTTCAGCGCATCACTACAGTTCATGTCAATATGTCTCATCGGATTTGGGTGGATGGTCTCAGTCAGACGGTGCACGGGTCGAGAGCTGCAGTGCGTGCGAAAATGGTTTCGTGCTTGGCGGACACTTGTGCTGAACTTGAGCAGCACGGTCTAGCAGTGTCCCCCAAATCCGTCGTTCCATGTACTCACTTGGATGATGCTCGTGCAGTGGTGCGCAGGCTGGCAGCCAAAGGCTATCACATCAAGGTCGCCAGCCAGGCCGCCTACCTTGGAGCGGATCTCTCGGGAGGTAAGCGGCATGGGCGTGCCACTCGTCGCACACGCGCGGCCAAGCACACAGCCATGTCCAAGAATATCGTGGGTTTTGCGAGAGCTACTCGCAGGTATCGAGTACCTCGTCGCCTTGAGCTTCAAGGCGCTCAACCTGCTGGATTGTACGGGCATCAGTTACATGGGGTGTGGGGTGATCAGTTGCAGCAGGTCCGTCGCAAGTTAGCCAATGCGGTGGGGCCCAGACTCACAGGCAGATGTGTGACGACGTTGCTAGACTTGAAAGCCCCTGATCGAGATCCTCAGTACAAGTTGCCCACAGATACATTACGCATGTGGTTAGCCATGTGGTCGTCAAGACCGTCAGTGCACGCAGGTGTGACTCTTTCGTGGAAGCAAATCGTCAACGAGCTTTCCAGCCTCACTCCAGCCGCTCGGTGCCGCAGGATTCGAGGTCCTCAGGGAGCTGTCATCTCCTCCTTGCTGCAGGCAGGATGGACACCTGACTCGCCGTCAGAGTGGACAGTACCCAGTGGCCAGTACGCGTGGCAGTTCAAGTTCGATGACCTCACTGGCCACTCCATCCTTGACGTGCCTGAGCCTTTCTTCATGGAGTACAGGCAGTCGGTCCAGGACCAAATGTGGCAGAAAGCGGCACAGCACCACGGAGGGGGAGGCATGGAGAACGGCGTCTGCAATTTCTCGTACAGGAAGCTGCTGACTCAGCTCGAGCAGGCGCCAGGCGGTGTCAGGCTGGCCGGCTTGCTGCTGGCTGCGGCGGCGGGCGCGAGCTGGCCGAGGACTCGTCGTCAGACGAGATGCCGCCAGACCCTCTCTGTTCTGTGCCCTAGGTGTAATCTTGTGCCTGAAACAGATTTTAACCGAATTTGGGGGTGTAGTTGTCAGTCGTCCCATCCGATTTTTAAACTTAGCGAGGATCTAGTTTCGAAGGCCTACGCTCAGGCCGAGGCTGAAGAATGCTACTGGACCCGCGGTGTAATTCCCAGGGCCTGGATGGAGGTACCCCCTCCCCCCGAGGCCGAGATGTGGACGACCGTAGATGGTAGGGATTTTGATTTTCTAGGCTCAGGGACGTCTGATAGGCCATTGTTTGTGTTTGGAGACGCGAGTGGGGGGAAGGACACCCACCAC